TATTCCTTACTCATACATTTTTCACAACACAAAAGCTAACTGATTAGCATATGACATTTTATCATGTATCTTGTTAGCATTGCGGCTAATACTAATTGCACAGGACTAGCCATTTTTCAATACACCTGTTAGCATCGAGGCTAACGCTAGCGGCGCCAGCCTTGATCAACAGCCAACATTGTGTTTTTTTTTTTTTTCCTTTTCAATCTACCACTGAAACACTGATGTTTGTACCCTCAGTCAGGACAGAAGGATTTCAACTGTTTAAACACCAAACTGGGCCAAGCAGGAATATATGGCTGGCAGGCAAATAACCAAAACTCACATTAAAACATGAAGTCTTAATAACATACAATTCTTCAAGATTTATGTTTTGGGCTTTTTGTGCCATTAATGCAGAGAGAGGACAGTGGATAGAGTCAGAAATCAGGGAGAGAGAGCGGGGGAATGACATGTGGAGAGGGGCCACGGGTGGAAGCGAACCCGGGCCACCCGCTCAAGACGAGAGTCTCAAGACATGGGACGCGCACCCTAACCACTGAGCCACCAGCGCGCCCCAATAACATACAATTCTAAGTTAGTTTTACTTCAAGTCCACGAAAATGTTGTGTTAACTCAATATTATACGTTTATGTCCCCTGAACTACATGAAAGGTTTCCAACTTTGAAAAGTGACTCGTATTAACTTTAAAGTGGCGAGCTCTGTCGAACCCACCGTGCTCACAGAGACAGGTGGTCCATACACCTATTGTTAGTGCAACTGTTATTTGTGCTCATCTGCAACATGGGATGGAACATAATCACAAGACTTAAGCACTTTTAAAAAAACAAACAAACAAAAAAAAAAACAACAACTACTATGTGAAGCGCGGGTCCTCTAACTTCATGTGTGTGCATAGTAAATTAGAGCCCCAGCTCTCTGAATTAAGGTTTTTCTAAGGGAGGGTTTTTTTTGTGCGAGATTTCTCCCGCAGCCGCCCCGTCTCTCACACACCCTGAGACCGGTCTTAACCTCCCGTCAAAAGCAGAAAAATTGCAAATTATACAAAAGAAAAAAAATATATATATATTTTATTGCAGATGTTGTATGTACATTTTGGCCATGAAGCAAATCAACTTTGTTGCTAGTCAAGACTCTAATCACTAGTTAACTTTAAAGGGTTACAATCCTGAAAATAATTGAGCGTTTGGTAGTTTTGAGCAAGTTGGAAGTTGTTTAACGTCACAGCAGAAAAATATGAATAAATGTAAAGGGGGCACAAGGGTTAATGTTCTAGCAGTGGTGTTGTGTTGTCTTACCTTGATATACTGTCACAGAAGCTCATGAGGCAGGATACTGCTTTCCACTGTGGCGGCGAGAATCACTAAGAACTCCAAACACTTCCCTGTCAAAGTCAATTAGAATGATTACGGCCAAACCAACTTAAGATGCCGTCAGAAAAACATCAATGATTAACATAAAGATGGACGAGGCAGCAAAGATATAGTCCAATACAGTTTAATTCATGATACACCACCACAAAGCATTATCTCTGTCTTGAAATAAAACTTGTAAATTAAATATGTTTGTATCAAAATTTCAGCCTTTGTTTTCTTGCTGTGAATTTTCTGATTTGTTTGAATCTTATACACTCGTAGGACAGAGGATTTGGGACTCGTTACCTCTTGTAAATTTACAACTTTAATATCATAAATTTACAAGTTCAATCTCATTTTAGATTTCTTTTTTTGCATGGCCCTAATCCTCCGTCATACACTTGTGCATCGTAAAATGGGTTTTTCCATGAAAGACACACCTTCTCATAGACTGAAAGGGACAGTCTGCAGTCGTATTTCTTGTGCAGATCCAGGAGCTGACGGCGGTGAGACACCAGGGACTTGAGATTCTCCACCTCTTTGGAATAATAATTATCCTCTTTAAAAAGAACAAAATTAAAACAAAGGTCAGGGTAGGCTATAGGGCTGGTCAAGTAAGAGCAGTTACATCATTATCCCAATGAAAGGATTTGCAACAATCACATCGCTATAGTCAGAATAACATTTTATTTATGCAGACAAGCAATGCTTTCATTCAGCATGTGTACATTTAACTGTGATTGGTTCAGACTAGATTATATGTCTGCTGCAAGTTTAAATTGTGTAAACCAAATTTTGCATAATACGTGACCTGTAAGTAGTAGACACAGAACCGACCATAACAATTTTGGTTGACCCTTATGTTGCAGACAGTTTGACCACCAAAGACAATATTCATAAATATAACAGATGTATGCCAGTTTTCTTTAAGTCTAACAAAATTCCTTTATTTTAAAAATAAAACTATTTCTTACAAATACAAGTAACTAGTGTAACAGAACAAACAATATCAAACAGGGCAGGGAGCAGAAATTGTCACAGACAGCCCAGGGATGGCTTTAAATGTTTTATGACTGCATCTGGAGAGAGAAGAAGAGTATTTATGAAACAATGAGCATTTATAATATAGTGTGAACACAACATTTTCATAAATCTTTACAAAATGGGAGAAGCATAAAAATGCATCCAAATAAAGTTAAGTACCTGTTCTCGGGCAAACCCTCTGAAGCATCTGACGACAGAAGAAATAGGCCGTCTTCAACTATTGTAGAGAAACAAAAAAAGAACAGGGGTTAAGGTTAGGGTTACCCTAACTCTAACCGTTTGTCTGGACGAGACAGGAAACTGAAGACATGTCCACAGAGTAACAAACAGTCAGAGGCAGAAATCGTATTTGCAGCGAGTTGATCTGAAAAATCATAAAAGCTTTATGTTGAGTTCAGAACAGCCTCGTGAAAATCACATCACAGTTCTTTAAAAGGGTTTGTACAAATACCTGACAGTCGTCTTGTGTCGTCAGTGTAATCATCCTCATGCTGCTTTTTTCTTGGCTGTGAGACATAAATTATTTAAGTCCCATTTCTCTGTATAAATCACAGCTGTAGTATGTTTTACATCACCATGGAGACTGAGTCACACTCTGGTTAGTTCAAAGTCATGAACGGCCAGATCGGGCCAACAGTGAATCATGACCAGGAAGTGAAGGTCCCAAAGACTCAGTGTCCTTACCCAGACAAAAAAAAACAAGAAGAGGCTCAAATATTTGTCCAGATGTGTATCACAGCTTCAGTTTAGAGTAAAGAACTCACCTCACTGTCAAGAACATACAGGAGATTTCCCCACCACCAACATCTTCCTCACTCCTTTAAAACATAGAAAGAGAAATTAAACAATCGTCACAATCTTTTCCAACAGGCCTCTTAACTTTCATGTTGTGTTTCTATTAGCTATTCTCTCTTTAACCCAGAAATCAAAAAGTTTGTTTACAAAGCACTTGTCAAACACCAACGCTACACAGTGCTTTACATAATGTACAAATCCCAACAATACACAAAAGAGGTCTCAATTAAACCCCAAAACAAAAATGTAGCAATAAACAATACACAAATTTCACCCAGAGTTTCTCCTGCCAGACCCCTAGTTCTCTCATTGTCTACAGTCAAAAGCAGGAAGGCCAGGAAACAAAAGCAGAAAAATATTACAGATTTTGTGTACAAAGGTGTCCAGAGGAATATCTGACAGTAAATATAATTACAGCCAAACCCAGTTTAAAATGCAGTTGGAAAAACAGTGATAAATGTACAAGATAGCGAGGATATCTTCCAATACAGTTTAATTCATGGATACACCTGCGAAAATAATTTTTTCAAGCGCTGTAATAAAACAATAACTCACCAAGTGTTTTCATGGCCCAGACTGAACATCACCACTGTACTGAAGCCCTTGATGTGGTAATCATTGGTGGAGCAGAAGTCTCTTAATAAGAGACTGGAGCTGAGTGTATAGAGAGGTGGGATTAAAGTTCTGCTTATCAGATAATAAAAAATAACCCTAACAGAAGAGGGTCTCAACTAACCTCTTTCAAACACCCTACATCCATTTTTTCTATGGCTGTGATGACAAAAAGAAAAATTAATGTTTTATTTGGTAAACAATAAGGCAAAGTTTGAAATGTGGAAAAACCCATCTTTACACGAGTAGAAACACATTGTATATCCCTGTTGACAAAAGGACTGGATCTGATTGGGACTCCAGGATCTAGTCAAGTCTGTGAGAAGAGCGGCTCTGTTGGAGAAATTGGGTATGAAGCGGTGATAGAAGCCTGAGAGCCCAAAAAAGATCGGAGCTGCGTCCTTGTTTGTGGCAGGGGACAGGACTCTATGGCCTGGATTTTGTTGACCTGAGAGAGTACAACCCCATTGATGACGTGGCCCAGGTAGTTTGTTTCTGCAGCAGCAAAGATGCACTTCGTTAGGTTGACAGTCAGCCCGGCAGAATGAAGGCGATCCAAGACAGCTTGCAGGTGTTCCTCCCACGTGTTACTGTAAATGACAATGTCATCTAGATATGCTGCAGCAAAACCAGAGAAATAACAAATTACCTGGGGTCTCATTTATAAAAGAGTGCGTAGAGTCCATACTAAAAATGTACGTACGCCAAAAACCCGGAAATGGCGTGCGCACAAAATGATTCAGATTTATAAAACCGTTCGTACGCACACCTGCACGCAATGTTCCCTTTATAAATCACGATCCACCTGGAAATGTGCACACGTGGATTAGTCCCATGTTCTGCCCTCTACACGCCCACAATCAACCATAAACGGTCAACGCAAAGCAGATCGTGAATGAAGAAGCACACAAACGAGGGGGCGGAGCTAAGGTTTCCAGCGCTGGATCCCTGAAGTTTAGACAAAGAAACAAAACTTTCTGATTCAGAAACGGAGGAGTTTGTGAATGAAGTGAAGGATAAAAATGGACATATGGATAGTTTACTGCAGCAGGAGGATCACAAACTGAAGACCAGAGAGTGACACCACGTCGCTGCTGCATTCACCCTGTCCTCCTACAGCGCCAAAACATCCACCGTTCATCGTTACGCACGAGTATATCTGCAATGCAAATTATAAGAACTAGGCCTATAAAAGAGGTCAACTTAATATAACTTTAAATCAACAAGATGTCAACTAAGGTATGGACTCAAAAAACAAACCTGATGTCTTAATGAAGGTTTCCATTTCTTCAGACCACCAGAAACTGTCCGTCCAGGTAAACATCAGTGGTGTCCACTTCAGTTTCTGAAATGCAAAGTATGTGACTCATCAGAATCCTATAGAATCAGTTAAATTAATTATTTTCAATAAAAATATTTTTTCAATAGGTATGCAGAGGAGCAGAGATTGCAATATCTGGTTAAATTGTCTGATTTGTGTATTTATTTTCTGTGGTACCATAGCTGTCCATCTTTTCAATCTTTGACCTGGTGCTTTGCATTGTGGGAAACAGTCAGCGAAGACTGGTCTGATGATCTACTGAATATTTTGCCAGAGAAATCAGTACATACTCAAGTATAGTAGATGTTTCAAAAACAGCCTGAGAATTAGTTGAACCTTCTTTCTGGTACAGGCCTCTGACAGATAGCAAACAGTGAGTCAGAGACGAGAGGAACTTACTGAGATGACCAGAAGCAGCAGGAAGGTTTGATAACTCTGATCAAAACAGGATAACCATTTTATCAGCAACAACAATACTCCAGTTTGAACCACTGGAGGAGGAGAGACTGGGATCTGCCTGCATCTGAAAAAGAAAACAGCACTTACAAATTGGCACACCAGTGTTCACATTAATTGAAAAAGTCTGAGTCCCTGCAGACCAAAGCTTGGAATTTTCCACATGTTAGATACATGGAAAGAAATGTCAATCTCAGTGTTTGTGAAGTAGTTAGCACAACTGTCTAGGAAGGTTGTAGAAAGGAAACTCAGCAGATGAAGAGTTTCCAAGAGGTGAGTATTTACTTACAGTGATTAAACCAACACGTGTTAACTTAACAAAACAACAAACATTCAATGTAAATAAGACAACTTACTTCATGATTAAATCAGAATAAGACCCATGTTAAAGGCAGCACATCCTCACCTCTCCTCATGCAAGAGCACACGTCTCCTGGCTTTATAGATGGCCCCATTAACAAAATGGCTGCAGCTGGGTGCAGCACAACTCAAGTAGTGTGTTTACACTTTTCTCTTAAAGCAAATAAATCTACATAAACCCTTAAATGAACCTCAGATCATTTACTCAACTCAATTAACTTTAAATAATTAAATTACATTCTACCAGTAACTCAAACTTTCAAAATTTCTCAAAAATAAAACTCCTTCAAAATGGTCTGCCCCAGTGATGTCAGTGATGACATCATCAATCGGATAAATACCCAGGAAGTGCTGGGCTATCCCCTTTTAGCTGCATGGAACCACATGGGAAACTGAACAAAAGAACAAACAGAGGTAAGTATGGATAAGACAATCAATGATACTTCGCAGTTCCAGAAACTAAATAAAAATGACTGAACTAAGTCAAGACTGTGTGTTTGCTATAAGTTGATTTATGCTTTGATGTGAACTGTAACTAATTGCTAACACAAACAAACCCGGGATAGTAGTAAGTGCTACAATGTTACACAAGCAAAAATAAATTAAAGCTAAATACACAACTGTAATTAATGATGTGATTTGATATTAAATAAAGACTTAAGTGACAAGTGGTTATTAAGAGAAGAGCTTCTCACCCACTTTGTCACAATGTTATGTCAAGTTTTCTATGCGCTGATTCAGCTGACTGTAAACTCCCCTAAGTGTTACCACAGGGTAGGGTTGCAGGAAGAGAGAAACCCTGAGGTCTTACTGGGCGCTGCCATATTTTGTGTCTGTGCTCAGTTCACTCAGAGTGAAGGATTATGGGGGATCTGCCGGATAAAAATGTTGTTTCTCAGAGTATTACAAGCAATTTACAGCTATATCTATTTTTTTCTGTCTTTTGTAAATCTACAGACACTGAGGACGGCATAACAAAGGAACGTCAGCATCCTCCTGGTGATAGATGAGGTCGTCCTGGAGCATCAGATCAAGCAGCATGGCATGAAGGAGGACTATTGGTAGCATATGGTAGCTATGCTCATGGGTCTGCTGTACGCAATTAACACTGACTACCAAAAGGAAGTACAGTATACATTTAAAGTCATACAGAAGAACCTATTGAATATCGGTGGTGACCACTACCCCCTTCAAGGGTCCATGGACTGAGACTTCTTTGTAAAGCTGTGAGGTCGGGAGTTTTCTGAAAGCTTCCAAGAAATATTTGGACATTGTCTCACAGATCTTTTCTGAAATGTTTGTGTTACCTCAGTAAGATCATCTCATTAAATGTGTAAATTTCCTGATTTTATACATTTATTGCATCTGAAAATACTGAGAAAAGTGACCGATAAATGCAACAAAAGGACAAATGGTTTTTTTGGAACATTCTTGGGTGTAAATGTTTTTACCAACAAGTGGTAAAAACATGTGTAAATGTTTAGATGTGCTATTTGATCTGATCTGCTATCAAAGGTTGAAGAACTAAAGTTGGTTGGTTTCTATGATAAAACGAATAACCTGTAGAGATTATACCTTTTTTTTTTTTTTTTTTTTTTTGAAAGGAAGTTGAAAGTTTCCACAAAAGCATAGAGAATCACTAAAAATGTATACGCTGAACTGATTTAAGTTGACTAAAATATAAATATATATATTCAATTTAAATTGATTAATTCATTTAACTCAATATTTTAGATGGATTCAACTTTTGCCAAAATATTTTAACTTTGGATTTCAAGTCAAAAGAAATTGAAAGAGCATTTTGCCTAGATAATGAGATAAATTCACAGGAACTGAGTTGTGTTCAAAAGTTTTGTGAACTTAAAGATTTAAGTACAACTGACTTGATGTCAAGTTTATTTGACTATAGAACATTTTATTTCTTTGGAGTGTTGGAGTGTTCAGGTAACTTAACATTTTAAGGCAACCCAGACACTAACTTTTTTAAGTCATAACTATTTTTATTTTTATTTTTTTACAGTGCTGTTTTAGCTTTCTCAGTCCTTGTGATCAAAATCTGTAGATCACCTTCATCCTGCTGTGAACTTCCTATGCTGCAGAAAATGAAGTGTTCTACATTTCAACTGACCAACTGTCCTTTTGTATTTCTGGTGTCCTCGTGTCAGCCCAAGAAAAGGGAGTGTTTTACTCACTGCATTTGTTAACTGTGCTACAAGTTGTTGGAATGGCCCTTTTTAAGGATGGACTGCAGATTGTATTTAGAAGTGTTTCCGCTGGAGTGGAGAACAGCAAATGTTAAACAAAAAGTCAAACTTGCCTTTATATACACGTTCGATAATTCTTTTGTCAGCATCTGTGTAAAGCTAAGTGATTCACAACACAGAGCACATCACACGATGAACTGATCTAGTTCCATCCCTCAGAAATGATCACGGAAGCAGAAGAGGTGATCACAGGACCATGAATGCACCAATCTAATTAATATCCTCCTGTTCCTGCCACTGATTTTAACGACTAGTTAAAACCTTCTGCTGCTTTTATGGCTATTAGAAAGCCACGTGTGAGCTATCTTCTTCACTGTGTTTCCCCTCCACTAGCAGTTGGCCACCCTAAAAATGAAGAGCCTCCAGGGAGGATAGGGTTCAACTGACTCAGAGGCCAATTACACCTGGATCATTGCAACAAATGCTTTGAAACCCATACACAAGAGGGTTTGACAGTTGTGATAATGGTCTTGTTTAGTTGGTGTTTTCACTTAAAATGAACCTGCCTCTCCCCATGAAAAGCCTTTTTAGATTAGAGATGTCATTAATGGGATGAGACGTATTACCAATCGATTTGAGGGGAGCGTGGCATTGTTCTTCTGAGTGAAAAAACTTTGGATCCGGCCAGTGTGCCGATGCCAGATGCAGCTGCAGGAACATCTCTCTCTCTCTCTCGCTCTCTCTCGTCTCATTTCATCCAAAACTGCCGCTCTGGTTTAATCACTGGAGTCAGTGAGGACTTTTTTGCGGCTCCATTCTCTTGAAGAAACATGTTTAGTTTAAGAGGCTGTTGTAAAGTAGCTTTGTACTGATCTGGGGAAGAAGGGAGGATAAACAAGCAGATTGCAAGAAACCTGATCAGTGTTAATGGTGATGGTTTAGGCTTTTTGTCTTTCACTGATGCCGTCTACTTGACAGCCAAAAACACTATGATACTGATTAGACAGCTGCTTCAACTGAGAGAGAAGACGGACCAACAAAGCACAAGTTTCCATTCCACAAAATAATCACATTTCACACATGTGTTTAGACATCTTGCACAAAACACTTTTATACTAAGCCTGGGGTTGATTGATCTGAATAGGCAGGGTCTGAACCAGAAGTTGTTGATGATTAACTTGAAGTTTGGTGAGAAAGTGGCGGTGGTGACAGGGTAAGGGGCCTTGGATGAGGGAACTGAGGATGAGCAGGATGGTCGGGGTCTGGTCAGAGTCGGGGCAAGTTTGTCAGCTAAGGGCGTGAGGTGTAGGGGGCAGAGGCTGCTGCTGCCATATTTCTTCATGAAGGTGACAGAGTGCAACAAAACGAATGGCCTGTCAAAACAAATGAGAACGAATAGTTCATGTGTTCTGTGGAAAGAAGACCCCTTCAAGCATCAAGGGGCGGTTCCTTTGGAGGCAAAAACTAGGACCAAGTCTGCAGCTAGCATGACTGCTAACTACTGTTAGCTCTGAGTCGCTAAAGAGGAGAAAACATTGATTATAATTAATAAGATGCTATACATACAAATGTTAGTAACACTGGCTCTGATGTCTTTTGCATCAGTTTGACAGAACTCAAAACTTATTGATAAAAGTAATATAAAAAAGTTAGACTAAATTTGATTCCCATTCATTGCCAGGGGGGTTGTTCTTTTTTTTGGTTCATCCATCCGTCCATATATTTTCTTCTGCTCATCCAGGGCCAGGTCCTGGTGACAAGTCAGCCAATGTGTCCTTCTTCCCAGCAATGTTTTCCAGTTTTCTAGCTCCTCCTGGGGGATTTTGAGGTGTTCAAATGTCAGCTGGGTCATGTAATCCCTCCAGACCCCCAAGGTAGACCCAGTAGGAGAAACCCAGGATGCTCCCTAATCCAGATATGGAATCTGAGCTCCATAGAGGGAACCCATCCACCCTTTTTGAGAAAACTCTATTCAGCAGTTGTAACATTGATCTCTTCTTTTGAACACTACTCAAAACTCATGACCATATGAGTGGTGGTGGAAATTGGATTGCTGGTTAATCAAAAGCTTTGCCATCATGCTCAGATCCCTCTTCATTAAGACAGCCATGAGTATTAGGCCTGCATTACTGCTGCTGCTGAACCAATCTGTCTATCTCACAATACATCTTACCCTCAATTGTAAACACGACTCTGAAGTACTTGAACTCCTTCGCTTTGGGCAGGTTCAGGTAATCTAATGCTGCGCTTTGACTTGAAAGTAAACAACAGGACAGTGGAAGAAGGGCATCTGATAGCACTACACAGTTTGGCAGTAGTTTGATCTATAAAATGGAGAAAAAGGTGTGACCACATTTAGCACAGACATAAATACTTCAACCTGTAAGGAGGACTGAAGGCTGTTGTTAGCGATGCTAACATTAGCCACACTCAGCAAACCTATTTGACATCTTTTGTCAATACCAGGGTTAAAAACAACTATGCTTTTTCCCTGAATTTGATCAGATATGTTGGTAGCTATGACACACCAAATGTTTTCATAATGTTGTTTACGGTTAACCTTAAAGATAATACTTGTATTTGTAGTAGCATTTTCTTTTTCAAAAACTGTTTGAGTGGAAGTTCAACAGACCTCCTTTTTGTTTCTGCGTTTACTTGAAAGTTGGACCCTGTTCCCACTGAGCTGCTAATAAGTGCATAATAAAGCATTTATTAATCTTTATAAGTAGTGTTCCCACTTCAGATCCAGTACCTGCAGAGCAGCTTTATTAACTCTTAATAAGTTCATAATAAAGTATTTATTAACCTTTATAAGGCATTAATATGAACCTAATAAAGTCT